GAATAAAATGAAACAACAAAGAATAGTAGTGTCATAATTATATTACAAAAAAAACAGATGTGCCATGCTGGTAGACACCCACCCAAAAAGACTGCTGGAATAAAGTCTAGTTGTGATTTAAAGACTCATATTTGGTGTGGTAGTGGTGGAGTCATGCACTACGTATACTGCAGTATTACATGATTTGGAATTTGCCTGGAATTTTGTGATTATCTGAGGTTATTTGGAAGATAATCAGTTTAAAACTTTGGCATAAAAGAGTTTTAAACTTCAGAGAATGCTGAGTTTTTAATTTCTCTCATGTACTTAAATCATCTTGAGACTGTCAAAGTGGTCATTACTCAACAACCTCCATGTTTTTTTATTCTAAGAACCAGAAAAGACCTTTTTGTGTTTTATAAAAACAATAGCTTTATTCCAAAGTTGTGCCAATATTTTCTAAGATAAACATGTTCCATGTTCTKCAGAGAGAAAAGAAGAGTCTCCTGAAGCTGCTGTCCTCCAATAAGAAGAGGTCTCGTCCCTCACCCCCCTCCTCTCCCACCCCCGAGGCGGAACAGGCTGCTGCTGGAGAGGTGCTGCATGGAGCCGTGGGCCCCGACACCTCCCCTCCCCCTGGCCCTCTCAGCTGGCTCGAGTCTGAACCTGCTGCTGCTGCTTCATCCTCCTCCTCCCCCTCAGGCCCGGAGTCCTCCCATCGGAAGAACAGTCCTCTTGACGGATGTGCCCCCATCGCTCCGCCCCCTCGTCAGCCCTGCTCGTCTCTTTCATCACAGCAGCACGATGCACGTCCCATCATATGTGAGAGGTAAGCTGGTGTGAACCTGCTCAACCCACACAAACATTAGCTGTGCTTCCATCAACGTTTTTTAACTGCATTTTCAAGTAACGCATTAGGAAAGGAACTGAAACAGCAAAATTTGGAAAAACTACAATTTCGCAAAGAAGTTTCTACACTCGCTTGGGTTGGTTTTTGGATTTTCTGAAAAAGGGTTAATGCGCTAAAGAGGAGATGGAAACAGATTTGCTGAATAATTTCTGACGTAGTGAACATTTACCTGGATCAGCTGTCCCTGCTGTCCAATAAGGCTGCAGCTGGACCCTCCTCCTGCTGTTGGTGTCTTCCCAGACATTCCCGTAACGTAAAGAGAATCACAACATCTCCACCTGCTGAGGAAACTAAAAGCTTTCCATATCAGTAAAAAGGTTCTGGAATTTGTCTACAGATCATTGATTGAATCCATTCTCATATTCAATATTTCCACCTGGTATAGTTTCATTACAATGAAACAACAAATAAAACTGTCCCACATGGTTAACCAGGCTAAGATAACTGGTTCAGTTCAAAGCCCACTGTCTGWGCTGTACAGTTCCTCTGTGGTCAGGACCATAGAGAACCAGTCACATTCCCTTCACCACCTTTTCCAGCTTCTACCCTCTGGCAGGCGTTATAAAGTTCCCCAGGCCAGGAGAAACATCTATAAAAAATCATTTGTCCCTTCTGTGAATACCCTACTAAACAAGGCTGCATAGTTACATCATCCCCTTTTTACAATAGTTTTTAATTACAGGGTCTTTGCTTGTGTTGTTTTTTACTTATCTTGAATGTACAGTATGTTTATAATATGGAACCCTGTTAAAGACAGTTTTCTGTCACCTTTGAGACAAAGTTTATCTATCCATCCAAACATCCTGCCTTCCTTCCCATTTCTCTACGTCTGCAGACAGCAGTAACATCACCAACACTAGTTGATATGACAGAATAATTACAGTTTTCCTGATAGCAGCAACACGTTCCTGATAACTTCTCTCCATTGTCCTGAGATGTGTCCCTGTGAGTTTGTCTTTACTTCCTGTTTACTACAGTCATGTGTAACAACAACAACAACAACAACCAGTAGATGGAAACATGTTTTTATTTTTATTTTTCGCCACATTTTAAAAGTTTGCTCAAATTTTGCATTAAAGTTGGATGGAAACATAATGTAACAATATATCACAGGTAAGGATGCACTAATATAAAAATTTCATCTAATAGTTAATGTTAATATTGCTGTTATGGTCGATAACTGATATTTACTGATATTATACAAACACACACTTCATTTATAAATACATAACGTACAAACACACTTTTTTTTTTGAGTACATTAAAAATCAACCAGACGGCTGACATGATGTCTCTATTTCAGTTATTCCTGGCTGTGCAGCGTCACTGTCATGATCAAACAGATGTTACTCGACCATCTCCCCTCTCAAAACAGAAACACAAAGATAAAAAGTGGGAAATTAATATCTGACGTTAATATCAGCTCAGTTTTACTTATCAGACCAATACTCTAATAAATATTCTAATATATTCTAAAAAAAGACCAACATCGGCAGTTGACACTGATATATTGTGCATCTCTAACCTGTTGTGTGTTTGTTCTTGGCAGGTACAGGGTGGTGGTATCATACCCTCCGCAGAGCGAGGCAGAGCTGGAACTCAAGGAGGGGGACATTGTGTTCGTCCACAGGAAGCGGGAGGACGGCTGGTTCAAAGGCACGCTGCAGAGGAACGGCAGGACCGGCCTGTTTCCTGGCAGCTTCGTGGACAGCATCTAACCGAGTCACCTGAAGCCAGCTTCACTGACTCTGACAGCATCCATCATGCCGACACTTGAAGTCCTTACAAATGAGACTAAAGAGGAGAGCACAGAAGAGAGCACACGACTCATGAACTTTTCTTTTTCCTGTTTTTTATATATTTGTAATAACTCAGCTGGTAAATGTGTGCCTTGTACTGTTCCCCACTTTATTGCATAGGGACATAATTATAATTAGTCCTTAAAACAACCTGTATGAACCGGTATGTTACACATTTTAACTTATTTCATGTTCTGTTTAGGTAGTAGCACACATTAAGGGGGTAGAGTAGAACAAACATGCCTGTCGTATTAGACCGCATCATCTTTTCTTTCTCTACTGGGCTGCTGAGAAGTTTGGTCATTATTTAAAGCTGTCAGCAGCTAAGAGACAGGATATGAGCTGGATCCAGCCAGAACTAATCACTTGTGCTGCATTGCAAAAAAAAGAAAAAAGACCCTTCCCTCTTCTGTTACCTGAAAGAGGAGCAGAAGAAAGATCTGCTGTATTGCGCATTTGAATCCTCAAAGCTAAATTTCACAGCCTTGTAAACGCTGCACATCACTAAACACCCGTGTGCCATGTAGTTTTCTTTTCCTTTTTTAAGGTGCTGCGTAGTTTCTTCTAGCAGAGATCAAACCCTTGCATGTCCTCAGCACAAAGCCAGGAGAGAGAGCGGTGATAGTTTGACCACGCCTTTCTGATATCCTGAAAACACTCCAAATGGACTTTGCAGTTAAATGTTGCTGAATTTGTACTTTCTTTTATATATATATATATATATATATGTAGTGATCAGAGTAGCAGCTCTCCTGCCCCCCACCCCGGACCTTGACAGAGCTCTGCAGCACAGAGCAAAGCAACATTTGAACCAGTCTTGATCAGTGCTGTTGGTGATGTGTTAGACATTTCCCCGAGGCTGCCGCCTGCTGCTGGTAGAGTTAGAGACTGAGGCGACACACACAGCCTTCAGTGGACCTTCTGACTCTTTCTGATGTGACTTGTGGCAATAAAACCTACTGCTGACTGAAGCACAGACGTTTGCCTAAGGTAGCATTACTCCACATGAAGAGCTGCGCGTCGAATGAATCTATTGTTTTGACTCAAATCAATCACTTTGAGCCCTTTATTTAATTTTATTACCTGTCGTTGGTTAAATGTACAAACTTGAATTGCTGTAAGATTTCATTTTGATTCAAGTGTTTTGGGTAAAATTTGTTCAAATTAAATTAAATTGAATTAGCCCGTGACCCTGAAAGGAAGAAGCAGGTTAAGATGATGGATGGATGGATGGATGGATGGATGGATGGATGGATGGATGGATGGATGGATGGATGGATGGATGGATGGATGGATGGATGG